GACGTACTGGTTGGCGGTAGTAATCATCTCACCAATCCCCATGGGCGGCTTGCGGTTGAACTTGGAGCGGAGGTCGTGATGATGGAGTCCTCGGACGAAGGCGGTGATGACGTCTGCTTCCGTGATGTTGGGAATAGAATTCCTCATCTCGGAAAAGCATCTAATGTAGCTACATTGGAGCTCGGATGGCTTCTGGTAGATGCGGTTCAGATCGTGCTTGGTGCCCGGCTGAGTACACATGACCATGTAGTTGTTCGTGAAAACCTTCTTCAGCTCTTCCCAAAATCCGATGGAGTCCGGGGCGAGGCTTGTGAACCAATTCATCGCAGTTGGCGTAAGCATGATGGGAAGATAGTTCGCCATGACGCTGGTATCTCCCTCGGCGGCACGCACAGCAGTGGCGTAAGCTTGTAGCCACTGTGTGGGGTTCATCTGCCCCTCGTAGGGCTTGACCCCAGTGATTTTGAAACCACGGGGCCACAGAAGTGTTCGGGGTTCCCTTGTGAATGCTGGGGGCCCTTCGAGATTGTCGCCGTCGTGATCTACGGCGTTGCCGATGTTGAGTGGCTGGAGGGCTGAGTCTAGATTACCGAACTCTTGCTCATATTCTTGATGGTGGCGTACTTCTTCTTCATGGCGACCGAAACGGCACTCGTTGATACGTCATCGCGTGTCTCAGAGATTGTTGAGGTGCGCTCGGATGTCCTGGTCGACCTCCTAGTCGTGTTGGCGAGGGTGTTCGATGCGGTTGCCCCTAGCCCCTTGGAGGGGTTGTCTGTCGTCGCAGTGCTGGTCGGTGAAATGACTTGGGCGGTGATCAGATGTTGGCGCGGATGATCGACGAATCAAGCTTGTGGAGTATGAAGGTCTTTGATCCTGGTGGATCTCGTTTCCCTGGCAGTGCGTTGCTTTAAGCATGGTGGTGACCTTGGTGACTTCCGGTGTCTGCGGGAGCCGGGCGAGCTCATTGGCGGCCATGACCAAGTTGGTGCTTGGGGTCTTGTAAACGTCATGGCCGTCAACACGGACAAATTTGTCGTCGAGGTTGCGTTGGAGTTGGCATGGCCTTCCTTGTGAGTTGAGCTGGGCCACCGCTAGCATAAGGGCAGCCTCATTAGCTCGGTGCTACGCATAGTTGATGTTCCTGTTGACGCGAGCGGCGCGGTCTTCCTCGGTTTCCCCTTCCCGCGGGGGGCTGTTGACGCTGACGTTGAAGATTGCGCCTCCACGGAAGGGAGGGAAAGGAGGTTGTTCGGTGGTGGTTTCGGCGATAGTCTCCGTAGAGCCCTAGGACTCGGAGTCTGGATTCTCCTCTAAGATGGTTTGGAGGGATGCTCCGGGGCATCGGTCGACGTGTAGCATGTTGACAGCCGGCAGGAGCTGGTCGACAATCTGGTCAGCGAGAGGATGGATATCTCCCACCTGGTCGACGAATTTGCCCCTTAGGGCATCTTGATAGGCAGTGGCGACGCTGGTGAGCCCGAAGGGTAGGGCCATAACCCTTGGAGTTTCTCGAGCAGCCTCCGATAGATTTAGATCGAAGGGTGGTCGGCGCTGAACCAGAGTGGTCAAAGCTGATTCTATGATGGAGAGGCAATCGACGAGCTTCTGGCCATCCTGATCGATGGATGCGATTAGATCGTCGTTGTTGATTTGCCTCCTCTAGTAGCGGGGGAGCGGGCGGTGAACTGTCGGCGAAGACGACCTCGGAGGCAGTTCCGAGATCAGATCTACAGTCGCAGGTGTTGGGGTGATCGGCGCAGTATTGGCCTGCACCAGCTCGATGAGCTCTCCGACTCCGTCAGTGTTGATGATCCACGAGATTGATCCGACCATGAAGATCTAGCCGGGCTGTGGGAGGGACGAAGAGCCTGCAAAACATACCATCTTGTTCAACATGGAAACAACACGCACACCCCTACCTAGCACGCCAACTGTTGATATAATATCGTTGGCAGTCCTCCGAGGGATATCCCACAAAGGTAGATTGATCAGCAGAGATGCGTGTAATCGAGAACAAGAAGGCAACAGAGACACACGAGTTAGACAGGTTTAGGCCATCAGTATGACATAATACCCTACTCCTGTGGTCTGTTCGATTGTATTGGCTATCATATGATATTGCGTGTGTTTGGAGAGGGTCCCTGCCCGCCTTATATAGTCCGGAGGGCAGGGTTACAAGTCGGTTAGATCTAGGAGATAACCGAAAAGTAATAACAGATTATAGGAATCATGAGATCATACGTATCCTAACAGATCTCGTAGTATCTTCAGGATATCTTCCTGATGTCTTGCGGGACGCACCGAGCAGCGCTGTGCCCCACAAGGCTTCGTCTTGTGGGCTGGATCGCCCTTGGGGGCGCAACCCATGTGGTCTACCATGGGTATCTAGGGTCGTACCCCCCACAGACGTAAAAGGACTTTTCTTTGTATAGTGACCTGTAAAAGGGGAGAGCAACCCCATGTAAAAGGGGTTCCAATGAATGAATGAAACCCTAATTGTTCCACTTGATGCTACGCCCTGCTTGAATAAGCCTTCGCCATCTCACTAACATTAGCAAAGGTCCACCTAACACTTCATCTGCTAGGACAATTCTCCCAACATAAGGAATGACATGGAACAACTTTTATGCTAGCATCATATCTTTTGAAGTCATTCTTCATAGTTACATATAACTTTGCTCGAGGACGAGCAAAGAACAAGTGTGGGGGAGCTTGTTGGTGGTCCTTAATGCCTAAATTTAACCACCACGTCCCGCATAAAATTCTCCCATTTAAACACCAAACTTAGTATTAGGGTTTATAACTAACAAATTCCATGAGTTTTGATGATTGTTCATCTATAGGAGGACATATCGGGATAACATAGAAAAAGTGCTCAAAATGCGCATTCAGACAAAGCGTAACGTAGACCCGACATGAGCCCAAGGGAAGAAGGCCCACTTACCAGGCGAATCAGGGCCTAGTCAAATGAAGAAAAAAGCCCAAAACCCAAAGCAAACCATCTCCAAATGGTGTCAAACTTTGCATGACCCATCTAGAAGCCCAAAGAAGGCCACCCACCAAAGCTAGGCTCATTTGGGCCCAGTTGGGGTGTGTGTGCACCCTGGTGTGCCCACACCACCACTGGCTCGCCTCAGGCCCAGTTTTGGCATGGCGGTGCATTCAAAGCAGAGGAGGGCGGTGCGGGGTGGATCCAGGGAATATTCCTCCTGCAAACCGCCCTTTGGGTGCTATAAAAGGAAAGGGAAGTCTCCCATTCTCACACACACCACAAGGGCTCTCATTCTATTTGCCAAGATGAAAAAGTAGTATAGGATTAGTTGGGAGTTAGGGAGAGATGCTCAAGTTCCAGAGAAGTCCTCGAAGGTTTGGTATAATCTTATATCATTCCTTTGTAAGACTCGAGTATCAATATATTTATCTTCTCTAATTACTGAAATGTCCTTCATGGTTATCTAGTCATACCTTGGTGGTTAGCTAAGTATGGTTAGTATAGTGGTTTCACACCTTGACATGGGATCTCCGCTCGACCGAGTGCTCTAGTTATCATATGTGACTAGAGTAGTAATCGATAATGTAGACGTGGTGCCTAGACTGTTGATTACCTGAGTTTGTGCCCAACCCCACGGATAGTTGTGGTAGCCCCAAAGGTGACAGCTCTGACCTGACCTTTGTAATCCACCACGTTTGGGTTGGTGTTTTCGTAGAGCTTTTGGCAGCCTTCCCCCGACCATGCTTTCTCACCTCCACCCCCTCGTGGGTCGGAAAGGTACTGCTGCTCCAAAGTGTTCTTGGTGTGATCGCTATGTCTGACTTTTGCTCAGTTATCTTCTCTATCATAAACTAGAATAGAACCATAGTAATAGAGAAGTGTATAGGAGTCTTGAGCTCTCCCGTTGCCCTCCCAGCTTAGCCTGTCTACTCTTTTATCTTACTTTGGAGTTCTCCTGTGTGTGTCATTTATACAAAACTCCTATATTTATCACTTACCCCCACATTAGTCTAGTCGGTATACTAGTTAGTGGATACATGATGGTCAACTATCAACTTCTTTAATCATTGCTTCCATGTGGATAAATACGATACCATGTAATACTCCTAGGTGAAAGCTACAACGATATCCGTACGCTTGCAAATTTATTTGTTTGCGTTAACAAATACCAACAACCCTAACTACCAACGATTCGATTCAAGCAAACAAGAGGGGGAGATTGGGGCTCACCCCAATCCACATGCAGCGGCTGTAGTAGGCCGACGGCGGCCTGGGGCGGTGGCTGGCCGCACCGAGCTGAGGGGAGCGAGGGAGGGAGGCTGAGCACAAGGGAGTGAGGGAGGGAGGAGGCCGGCGGTGGGAGGGAGAGCGAGGCAGGGAGGAGGATGGCGGCGGGATGGACAGCGAGGGATGGAGGAAGCCGGCGCCGGGATCTGGCGTGTCTGGGCGGCGGTGACGTCGATCTAGAGGAGGGGAAGCAAGGAAGAGAGAGTGGGAAGGGATCCAGGCCGCGCCCCTGTATCAGGCACTGCCGCGCCAGGCGGGGTGGCGTGGCAGGGCCGGCCACGTCAGCGATCAGCGGCCTGGCTGACTGCCACGCGGGCACCCTAGCCGCGCCGCCATGCATGGCGCGACAACGTGAGTTTGCCGCGCCAGCACAGTAGGCGTGCCGAAAGTATTAGTTTTTTTAAAAAAAAACCATGTTAGATTTAAAAATAGTATTAAAAAGTGTTAAAATTAAAAAAAATCCTCATACGCCGCCTTCCATATGGGCCCATATTATTTTGGATTGGGCTTTTGGTGTCTCTTGGGCCTCACGTTCTCCTGGGCTTGCCTGCTGCGGATGCTTGGTGCTGGGTCTTCACCTTAGCACCTGACAGTTCGGCGTTCCGTCGCTTGACTTCCCGTTATTTCTCAATCCTTATCGGCTCACCGCCTTCTCCTCCAAATGCACTGCAGCCCAAGGCCCCCATTCCCACCCCCCGTATGTGGGCGAGAGATCCTGATGAGGCCCTCCACCAGCGCCGCGACGCCGCCGGCGTCGCCGGTCCCGACGGCGCTGACTAGCCCTAAGTCCGGCGCCACCAAGCGGCAGCGGAAGGCGGTGCCGCTCGGCGACGTCACCAACTTTCTCCTCCCCGAGACCCCGACCCCGATCAAGCCCAGAAGAAATGCACGCCGGCCCCTCCCCGCGCCCTCCGAGGCCTCGGCTGTCTCCTCCACCTGCTCCTCCTCCGCCTCGGTCACCCCGGCGCTCAAGCCTTCCTCCTCCGCGCCGGCCACTCCCGCGCCCAAGCCGTCCTCCGCCGCCCCTGTCACGCCCGCGCCCGAACCGTCCTCCTCCGCCGCGGTCACGGCCGCACCCAGGCCTCCCAAGCCGTCCTCCACTGCCTCCGTCACGCCCGCGCCCAAGCCTTCATTCGCCGCCGGTGAGGGAATTTGCATCTCACATCTGCGCTCGAACCGCCGCAGCTGGGTGTGGTGGTGGCATCTTCGGTCATCATTGTGCTGTGATTTCTAATGCTGCTCTTGGTTTGCAGTCCTCGACGAGGAGGGGAGCGTGTTCGAATCGCCGACCATCTGCACGGTTTACGCGAGGCGCAGGACTACCGAGGCTGAGGCTGAGGCCGAGGGACGGATCAACCCCACCATCACCAACAAGGGCAAGGAACCCGTCGGTGCTGCGGCAAGTTGCCCGCCTCTTGGAAAATCCACGAAGAATATCAGGTGAGAAACTCGTACTTGTTACCTATGACTGATGTCATGCGTTGGTGGTATATTCAATACAGTACCACTTCAGAGTTAGTACTATATCTCCGCTGTGCAATTGTTTGCGATTTGGACACCGATAGAGTAATGATAGTCCCTTCTGTGGCCTGTGGGTGCCAGAGACCTCTCGTGTAGCTTGGACCAGTTAATCCTGTTTTTGTTTTGTGTGGAAACCTCAAAGATGTGCATTCCTAATTGTTTGTAGCAATCTAATATGTTCATGTTTGAAAGGGCAGAGTGACACCATAGCATGATAAGTATACCTAATTTTATGTAATGCACATTCCTAATCTACCTGAGAGAATTAATAGTTCTTTACTTGAAAAGGGCAGGGCATTAGAATCACTGTAGTTCGAAGACACTTCTTGGTAACAAGAGTTCAGCCCCTGGTTGTCCCAGACTGATATGACGTTACTTTCTTGTTATTTTCAGATGATGGAATTCTTATAATACTCAATGTCTTAAACGCTTGTTGTATACTAACATATAGTGATATAGACTAGAAGAGGTTGTGCTGTAAGGTTTTTCACATTTCTGACAGAATAAGCATACCATATATATTTCATATAGTGTCAGAACTCAGAAGCATAGGATATTCAGAATCCAGGACTTTAGGGATCCTTTAGTTCATCGTATTTCATTGATATCTAACAGATATAGTCTGAGTGCATTTCATTTACTGAACTGTTAAACTTACTTATCTTCAGGAAAAAGGATACTCGGCCCATCTCTTTGTCAGCTACTTGTCGGGAAGCTAAAAAGGTAAGCATGAGCGCAATCTGATTGCTTTTCCTCATAATGACAGTTATCAGGCTTGTTCCTTTGCTCTCTTTAGGGGTCTGCACAATGAGATTACCATCACAAACTCATCATTTTTTCCAAACTTTATCATGGGCTAGTATTTAACCAATAGAGCTGTGCCCGCAATAAAGTCTGTGTTCTGTTAATGTTTCGCTTCTGTCCTTTGCATAAGTGCATCTATTCAGAAACATTTATACAAAACACCATATAGCAATATGATGAGACGAATGTTTTGAAGGCTGCAGTTTTTTAGCACAGTTAAAGCTGCATTTGGAAGACTAGCTCTGCTCCTTACGATGTCCATTACTTTAACTTTCTGACTGCTTGCTATTTTGGGAACAGAAACGGCCCCTTGCAAGGACACCCAAGTTACCAGAAGAATTTGTCAAAAAGCAGAGAGCATACTTTGCAGATGTGGATGCCTTTGAACTGGCAGAGGAGGAGGTATCAGAATCTGAGCTGGAGTGAGAACTGAGAACTTAAGGTCTTCCCAGAATACGTGGTCTTTTCTGTACAGCAGTAGTTTACTGTAATTACTTTTACGATGCGATCGACGACTAAGGTATGGTAGCAATGTATAGATAGCTCTGCTTGTAACACGGGGGCAAACCAGTTCACCTGGGTGAGCACTGGTGAATGCATCAATACAATAGGCCAGTAATGTTTCCTAAGTAGTACAGTATTATCCAAGCTTCTAGTTGTAGACTTGTAGCATAAAAAGTATGGCAGGTAACCAGGTACTGAGATCGCATGACTAGGGAGACCCTCAGCTGTAGTACATACTAGTTAAGACAGCACTAATAGCTCGATCTTTCTGTTTCGAACTAGCTGCTCTGGATAGATGTTTTTGTAGTGTGCCTGTTTTTGGTAAAAGTTCTCTCTTGCGATTTTAATCGTTGAGTCGGGTGTGCGCTTGTGTTGGCAAAGCTATTACAATTGCCGTGGCCTAGCACGATTAACGTTACGGAAAATGTCTGTATGGATGATGCTGGGTTGAGTGTACGTAGTGCAATTGAACTAGTGTAGAGTCTGAATGCTGAAGTTTCTTTGCAAGCGTTCACCTCCACGGCAACAATGTTTTTTTAGGCCTTTATTTATTCTCGTGGTACAAGTTGTGGTCTCATGGTACAAGTTGTAGTCTGAACGTACAACACATCTTACACCACACGCACGCCAATACACACTCTTAAACCCGCTGCTGGTTCATCTAGTCCTATAAAAAAATGAGCAAAAGGATTTAATCATCAGCTGAGATGCCCAGAGAATAAACGTACGTGTACAAAATTCCTTCCTTCCGAGATAGATATTCACAAATCACAATATATATATGCTATAGAGTATCTTCTAACGTACGTATGGCCTGGTACGGCGAGCTGAATACTGTTGAACATCATGTGTTTATCGCGTGGAATCCAACTGATGCGTGCCTAGTAGAATGGCCGTGGATCCGATACTCATCATCATGAATTAAACAGTGGACGTTGATGAGCTTCCTCCTAAAATTAAAATTAAGCAAAAAAAGTAAAGAAAATGCATGCAAAGCAAGACGACCGACACGAGTGCTTGGGTAGGTTACCTGACACGACGACGTCGACAAGCTCGGCAGGTGTAACCCTGATCTGGTTGCAGATAGGGTGTTTGTCCAGCGTGGTCCGGTAGTTGCCCGACGCGAGTGCTCGTGTTAGCTCCGGGTTGCAGTAGAGGTGAAGGACGTTTAGCTTGAGACCCCCCAGGTAGTCTGGCAGCTCATACACGGTCGGGTCCGTCCAGTGCATGGTGTCGAGCGCCGGCACATCTTGCAGCACCTCCAGCGCCGGGCAGAGCTCGATGCTGACGCCCCGCAGGTTGGCGAGGCCGCGGATGATCCTCAGGCGGGGGCACCTGGCCACGTTGAGCTCCTTCACCGAAGGGAAGTTCTCCAGGGACGTGATGCAGGGGAGATTCCACAGCACCAGCTCCCTGAGGGCACGCCGGTTGCTGCTGGCGAGCCCCGCAGGCAAGCGGCGCAGCTTGCAGTAGAAGAAGCCGAGCTGCTGCAGCCTGGGCATAGCGACGATGCTGTCCTTGTTGCCTTGGGCTTGCTCCTCCTCCTCGTCCCACTCCCACTCCTCCCACTGTTGCAGCTTATCGAACCGTAGGAACTCAAGCTTTGGGAAAGACCTCCTCCTCCTCCTGCTCCCGCTGCTGCTGATGTTCCTCTGGAATTCTGGCCCCACCCGCTGGATGGACGAAGCATATTTGATATATAGGCGCTTCAAGCTGGCCAGCCGGCACAGGCCGTCGGGGAGCTGCGTGCAGAAAGGGAGGCTAACCATCTCCAGCGACGTCAGGCTGTCCAGGTCGATATTGCCCCCCACGCACATCCAGCTTGGGAGCCGGCGCCCCATGTAGTCCTTGAGAACCAGGCACTCGAGAAGACGAGGTGGGCGGAGGTGGTCAAACACCTCCTCTATCCGCTGGCACTCCTCCCGCATCCCCTCCGAGGTGCTGATGGACTCCGGTGGGTTGTAGCACATGAGCACCAGGACGACAAGCTGCTCCTTGTCGTGGATTCTGGCGTCGGCAGCCAGCGCAGCGGAAGGCACCGCCGCGAGACCCCTTATTTCGAGCCGGACGAGCTCTTGGAGCTGCCCTAGCTCTTGCAGGCTGCACCAGTCCCCGTCCGTCTGCGCCGGGAACAGAGAGAGTCTCCTCAGGCCTGTCAAGACGCCAAACCCCTTAGGCACAGTACACTCTGTGCAATCTACCTTGAGTGACGTCAGGCGCTCCAGCTCCAGGAAGCTCCTAGGGAGCTCGCCACCAAACTTGCTGCAGTTATCAAGCCCAATGTGCTGCAGGAACCTCAGCCCGCCTATGCCGTCCGGCAGCCTCGTTATATCCGTGCTGTCCAGGTGAAGGAACCTGAGGTGCCTCAGGCTGCAGAGAGACTCCACAAACCTCTCGGTTTCTGCGTGCCTCACGAGCAGCGCTCGTAGGCTGGGAAAACTAGCCAAGGTAGGTTCTCCAGCGACGGCGGCGCCACCGGTAGGAGCATTGAATTCCACCCTGCCGTTGATGATCAAACTTCTTAGCAGCCTGTGTTTTCCTGAAATCCTACTCCACTCGGGCAACGCCATCGACGATGACTCCAGCTCGGTTGACTCTACGGACAGTTGCCGGATCGCCGATGATGAGCTAACCAGCTGGGAATTCTGGCCAGGGCCAACGACCAGAAGCTCTTCCTCGGCGATCTCGTGAGCGAAAGAGCGGATAACATCATGCATCTTACACACGGATCCGTCTCCAGCTATCTCAGGAGCAGGCTCTATGAGATTCTTCAGGACTAGATCCTCGTAGTAATCGAGCCCATCCTCTTCAATCTCTGTCCGCGTTCTTCTGTCACCAGGCCCGCCCCCTAGGAACCCTTCGCTCATCCACATCCCAACAATGTGATTAGACTGGATGACTAATCCTTTAGGGAAAAGGGAGAAGTACAGAAAGCATTGCTTGAGAGGGGGAGACAGATCATCGTAGCTTAAGCGTAGAACAGAGTTGATGACCTCATGCTGTTTCTTTCTATCTCTTGACCATAGTGGTTCGTCCAAGACACTCTTCCAATAACGCTCCTGTACGTTCTTTCTTAGGAGGCCTGCAATTACTTTAATAGCCAGTGGTGAACCATCACATTTCGAAACAATTGCCTTCCCGATGTGTTGTAGCCGATCAACGTCCTCACTGTCGACTTCCCGCGAACACTGCCAACGAGAATCATTAACTATCATTAACGATTATTGTTAAAACACTTATAGTGATAGTAGTAGCATTGCCGATTTGATTGTAGAGCCAGCGGAGAAAATTGTGTGTCAGACCTAAACTTTTTCATTCAAGTTAGTTTTTAACCACTCACGTCCTCTGTGCTCCCTCCGCTCCATGTTGACTCCTCTTTATCCCTAACAATTCTCTCACATTCCTCCCTCCCAAGTTCCCCTCCTTCATACCCCCTCCCTCCCTAATCCGCCTCCTCCATCAGACCCCACCCACCCTAATCTTTCAGATGGCATGACGGTGCAGAGGTCGTGGGGGCGGCGACGTGTGGGGCTGCAGGCCCTGTAGAGCGCGGGGATGCTAGGCATTGGCGCGCAGAGTGGCGAGCTTGGTAGTGGACCAAGTGTCACGCGGGCACCACTTGGGGCTAGGAACCCACTGGCGTGCATGGCGACGGGCCAGCGGCACACCGACAAGATGCATGGCTGCGAGTGGGCAGCACCGGCAGCCGACACACCCAGTAGTGATAGATGAGACTATCACTATTGCTTCCCATCGTCGGCTGCCTAAATCAACAATGATTACCACTTTTGTAGTAGTGAACACAATAGAAATGGCTAAAACAAATTAAATTGCTTGTTACACCAAAGAAAAATAGGCTACGACAACAACTCCATTAGCTGCCCAACAGGTTCCACCACGAGGAACCTCTTTGCCTCTACTTGGCGAGGATGGCTGAGCTTGAAAGTGAGGATGATCTGGTGTGAGAAGAGCATAAAGACAATGTGGTGGGAGGCATTCGTGGTGCAGGCAGTGAGGACGGGAAGCAAAGGAAGATATGAGGCTAAGCCAGAACGAGTGAATAAGAATGGATGTGTGGTAGAGAGAGGGCATGGAGCCGGTGTTGGCAATTTAGATTACACTTTTTCTATGTGTCAGTTGCCTGAAATTTTTGAACTGTTGAGGCAACGTGTGCTCCGTCGATATTGCTTCAGGATTTGTGGACTTGTTTTGAGTGTCTGTGAACAGAGAGCAGTGCAAATACCTGTCGCCTGAACAGAAGCCTAATTTCAGGCACCTGAAGTATAGCAGGTCCCTTTAGATTATAATAAGGAATATGTGAAGGCTGGGATTTTTTACAACTCTCCACTAATAAGAATGACCTTAGAATTAATCTACTGTACATTGAACTCCTTTTTACAACTCACTTTTATTTTCCATAATACCCCACGGTCCCGCTTTTTTATTTCTCATAATACCCTGACAGTTCTATCCATCTATTTTGTTTCTGCCCGTTCTGCCGTTCCTCCGCTTAGCCCTGCCGCTCTCTCCAATCTTTTTTGTTTTTTCAATTTCGAGTACGTCCCTCCCTATCGTTCGTATCGTCCGTTTCACCACTTTCTCCACCCGTTTCTCTGCTCTGTTACCCTTTGACTGATATTTTCACCACCAAATCATCGATGTAGTTTTAGAAACAAAATTTATTCTTATTAATTTAAACCTAGATTAGCTAATTAAACTGTGAACTGAAATGTTAAGCAGTTTTTTTGGGTCTGATTCAGTCTAAAATAAATATATTTCTATAATCCCGACGAAGGATGCTAAGTGAAAAATTAAGAGAGGTTTTCTGTCATAATCATCAACAGACAAACCAGTCATTGACATGTTGTCAACTAACTCTTTACCTAATTTAATCAAAGAGAAGAATTATAGATTTTTATGGGCTCTCAAGGGAAGTGATGGAACTTAGTATTAACTGTAGCAACACATAAATAGTATGAAATGGTATATTTATGTATAAATATTTTTGTGCTTTACAATGAGAGAAAAAATATATCAAGGTTATATTTTAATTCACATGATGCCTAATACGGTTTTGTCATATTATTACCAATAATAATTTATATTATGCATGTCATAGTCATCATAGCTAAATAATAATAGCTTTTAAATTTTATAAAGAGGATAAGCCATAAATACATATATACTGTTCCATCCCCGTTTCATAAGTACGAGCACCCTACGGGCATGTTTGCAATATATAATATAATATTTATATATATGGTGCATTTTATATACTCCCAGGAGTAGTTACTCACATAATCAATAAATCACGTTGCGTATGTGTACATACTCATTTATTAGTTTGAGTATGTTGACATACTAATATTAAGATATTTCAGATCTTTACTATGTGAATTTTTTTTCAAAAGAGCACAAATTTTTTAATATATTATATAATACTACGATAGTAGCATATAAAATAAGTATAACCATATACTCTAAGTATACATACATACTTGTCATATATAGTATCCTAGATGGTCTAGTATGATAATATGCTCCATCTACATATTCTTCGTCGGGCCATATACGCCCTAAATCTAGAGATATACATGGGAGTAACTACTACTTGGGAGTAGGAAATAATTTCCCTTATATCTATACTTATATAATACTCCCTCCATTCCAAATTATAAGGAGTTTTGGCTTTTCTAGATACGTAGCTTTTGCTATGTACTTAGATATACACTATGTCTAGATACATAACAAAAGCAATGTATCTAGAAAAGTCAAAATATTTTATAGTTTGGAACGGACGAAGTATTAAAGAGTGAAGTTTTTCCTCTTTTTTACATCCTAAATTTGCCCTCACGTTTTCTATATTCCGTGTATGATCCAGATTCATGAGTCATGCTCAGATAAATTAGAACAACTCGTGCCGTGCGGTAATATGAAGTACGATTCCGAGATGTATATATATAATATAAATATATAAATAAATTAAGACTGCAAAATAATGGGATCGGAGGAGGTACTTACCATCACCTGTTGCTTGAGCAAGGACCAAGCATCTTGGTCGCGCAGTGGGTTGACATGGTACTGGAGGGTGGCGATGTCCCTAGTGGTGATGCTCCTGAGGAGGCCTTCGTCCCTAGTGGTGATGATAACTCGGGCGGCGGCGCCATTATTAATAATTCGGTTGAAGCCATCCCACGGATGATTTTTAGGCCACACATCATCCATCACCAGGAGAAGCTTGCCCGTCCGTGACGGTGTCAGGCCCTGTGAATCGGCGGAGCTCAAGAGCTTCTCCACGTCGTAGCTGTCGGTGACGCTCAACCAGATCTTGAACGCGAACCCCCCTTGGATGTCGCCGTGGTTGAAGATGTTCTTAGCCAGGGTGGTCTTCCCCATTCCCCCAGCGCCCACGATCGACACCACCTTGATTTTTGCAGCTGCGGGCTCATCGTCGTCGGCCAGCAGCTCCTGCACCAGCGTTCTTGTGTCCCACTCGATCCGGTCCCCGACGACGACCGTTGATGACCTGCTGAGCGACGGCGTCGTCTTGCGGCTGCGAGGAGTGGAGGCCTCGCCGGGCTGACTACGCCGTACCAGCGGGTAGGAATCCATCAACTGTTTCTTCAGCCCCAACTCGACCATCTCCCTGCGGATCTCATCGAAGCTCGCATTGAGCTGCTTGAGGCGGACGCCTAGGCCGTGGGCGAAGCCGGGGTTCCGGAGGCAGAAGAGCAGCGGCTCAAGGAAACCCGGCGCCTTCTCCTCGATGATTGTCCAGCAGTCCGCGGCGCCTAGCTGCCGCCGCCTCCGCCGCTCCTCGTCCTCGGCATGCAGCTGGTACAGCTCCAGGATGTCGGTGGCCTCGTACAGAGCGTCCTTGAGCTTGCGTACCCACCTCTTCATGCTGTCATCGTCGTCGATGCGCCGCCTCTCGGCGTCGGTCGCATAGTCCTGAAAATACTCCGTGCTAGCCTCAAGCTTCTTGATCCCGCCGGTGACGCCCACCAGCACGCGCAACTCTTCCGCTGCCATGTCCTTCACCATCTGCTGCACGTAGGGCACCAAATGATCGAGCACCACCGCCATGGCTTAATTCCTCTCCTCTTACGTACGTACGTGTTCTCCTCCTGCTCCTGCGAGTAGTGGTGGCAATAGTAAGCATCGATTACTATACTACTACGTGCTCCAGCCTCCAACAAATAAGGCAAGCAGTACTGTGACCGACGATGAGCATGCATCACCCATATCATCATACTGATTGAATTTTCAATGGAAGGAATAAGTGCTAACTAACCTCGGCTCAACCTGCCGGCCGGGCGCTCTTTCCTCTTAGCTAGATCGAGAAGACCAATACTGGTGGTGCGGTGCAAGAGGAGATGGCCACAGGGCAGCGACGACCCAGGCCCCCCTTATATACAACCAAGATGTGGAGGAGCTACAACTAATTACAACTTCTACTCATTATCTAAAAAACAATTATATCTTCTTCCTACACTTTTTATAAAAGAAAACATGCTACTGACATGCATTTATAAATAGTCTATATCACTTTATGCAAAGCTCATCTCATATTTGTTGCCATCGATTATTGCCATTTCGATTCATATCCGCCCATCCAGTGTCATCCTCTGGTATAGAAATGATTTTTCGTGGCGCCTGCCTTATTTTTCTACTGGCGTTTCGTATTAGAGTGTCGCCTATGATGGGCTCCATGTACATGGATCCACCAGAGCGAGTTGAAGCTGGGAGAAGTATCTATATATTTTCAGCTTCATCCCACAGCAATTCCTTGTGAGAGTATATTCTAAGAAGCTTTACATACGAAGCTGTTTGAAAATACTCTTTTGAATGAGCTGCTGTAGCGGTGCTGCTTCTGAACGTACTAGTTCTGAATTCATAGAGTTAATACTGTTGACGCTTTGCCAACCATGCATATCTTTGACAGCTGGCTCTACTGATGGTGTGATTCTATATCGTGTGATTCACGTTATATGCATATATTCTGTCAATCCCTTGATGGCATCAAAAAAGAAAAAAAAGAACATATCCTTGACTGCTGGCTCTACCGACGGTGCATAATTGTTGACCAGTCTCTATATCGTGTGGTTGAGAGAATATAGTCTACCGTTGCTTATTTTATTGGTACACGCTATGTTCAGACCCTACCTACTCCGTGGAGCGGAAGGACCAAACTCCAAACCAAGATGTGGAGGAGCTACTACTAATTACAACTTCTACTCATTATCCAAAAAACAATTATATCTTCTTCCTACACTTTTTATAAAAGAAAACATACTACTGACATGCATTTATAAATAGTCTATATCACTTTATGCAAAGCTCATCTCATATTTGTTGCCATCGATTATTGCCATTTCGATTCATATCCGCCCATCCAGTGTCATCCTCTGGTATAGAAATGATTTTTTGTGGGGCCTGCCTTATTTTTTCTACTGGCGTTTCATATTAGAGTGTCGCATATGATAGGCCCCACGTATAGGGACCCACCTGAGCGAGTTGGAGCTGGAACAAGTATTTATTTTTAGCTTCATCCCACACTATAATCTCTTGTCAGAGCATATTTTAAGAAGCTTTACATATCAAGTTGTTTGAAAAATACTCTTTGAATGAGCTGCTGCAGCGGTGCTGTTTGCGAACGTACTAGTTCTTAATTCATAGAGTTAATACGGTTGACGCTTTGCCAACCATATCTTTGACAGCTGGCTCTACTGATGGTGTGATTCTATATCGTGTGATTCACGCTATATGCATATGTAGTACTAGCCCATAGCGCGCGCTCCGCTGTGCCAGTTAATGAATAGGAAAAAAATAGGAACAAAATTTATATGTGTTGACACGCAAAAATGTCCCAACATGAAAACTGGGTTACATCTTCAAGTTCCTGACATGGAAGACATGCTAGAAAATATTTGGTGCAACACAATTCAAAGCACAAAACAAAAGGGAGAAGAAAATGGCGCTGCCCCTACCTAAACCGGCTAGGCCGGTTAGGCCGGGTGCCGTGAGTCGGCTAGACCGACCCCAAAGCTGGCCAGGCCGGTTTCCCTGTGGCCAGGCCGGCCATAGCGTTGAAGTCGGCTAGGCCAACTTTTCAAATGTGTTTGTTTTTCGGTCCGTCTTCAACCCTCCTGATCATAATTTAGCTGTCCATACATGTATTTTCAGTTTAAATAAAATACTCGAATACACCTACATAGCTTTTGCTGATATCCAAAGCAACACTGGGCATCCTTTTAGTTTGCTTAAAAGCATAGATTGGTGGTCGCTGCTGGCTCAGCAGTTCTTCAGCTTACTGGTTCTTAATTCAAAGGGTTATTACGGTTATCGCTTTGCCAACCATATCCATGACAGCGCGATAAAAAAAAACAAATCCTTGACAGCTGGCTAACGGTTGTCGTTTTACCAACCATATCCTTGACGGCATCAAAAAAGAAAAGAAAAACATATCCTTGACTGCTGGCTCTACCGATGGTGCATAATTGTTGATCAGTCTCTATATCGTGTGATTGAGAATATATATATACATATACACACACACCCTGGGTACTGAACAATAATCAGTACCCGAGTCCAAATCACGGAGCCCGACCCGAGACAACCACGGGCACTCCATGCTCCGACCTCGGACCCGAGCGCCGGTTCCCCCCGCTCGGACCTCCTCTTATCGTAGAGTTTTTTTTCGTTCTAATTTCCAAATCGCGGAGGAGGAGACGCCGGTTTCGCCGTTTCTCCCAGCTCGCCAAGAGTGAACAACGGAATGCCAACCGTTTTTTTCTTCCTTTTTATTTTTACTTTAAGACAAAAAAAAGAAAGAAAAGAAGGGGTTAGCCCTACATGATAAACCTGAATGAAAAGAAAAAGTTCACCAAAACGACAATGCATCATTGGCAAACGTAGACATGGACTGCCACACCTAAGCCCTAGCCACACTTGAGAGGTCCTTTTATTGGATTTATTTTATATACTAGTAAATAGTTTATAATTTGTTTATCCTCGGAAGATAGGGAAGGAATCACACCATTGAGTTGCAGTTGTTGGTCCATCGCTACCGAACCGAACAAACGCCCCCATTTGAGCAAAGCGCGCGGCGACAGCCCATTTCGACAGCTCACGCACGATCGCACAAAGCGAAAAGGAGACAAAAGAAAAGGGAAATGAGCCGGGCCCGGGCCATCGATCGTTCTTTGTGCCCTGCTGCGTCAAAATCAAAAGCCAAATAATATCCCTCAAAAAAATCAAAATCAAAAGCCAAATAAAATATCTGTTCATCCGTCGTGGCAGATGATGTGGTAACCTGCATTCCGTCAAGAAAAACAACAGAACAGGAGGCCTGCAGCCTCCTGCTTGATCAGCATCAGCAGTTCAGCACAAAGTCATTTCTGACAGCTGCAGCTCACCATGCATCATGTTTATGCAGAAAACAAACTTGACAGTGGAGTAAAAGACGCGGCCTGGTGCTCACGAGTCACGACACGTATGATGTAATGTATCCTTCACGCAGAGGCAATCACGATGTACACGCTACACCGGCACGGCACGACGCTGGCAACCCAACTACCACTACTACTACTGTAGTGTGCCTTGCTCTGTCGGCAAGTGCTTTTGGAATTCTATGTGGTATGTGCAATGAATCATGGCTTGGTATGGTAAATGGGTATATATGATCACACGACATGATCCGACGAGCTAGCAAAGAAGCAGGCAAGAACAGGGGATGCTCCATGTACCTTGCCTTATTTGCCGTATGACATAAATAATATATGGGTGTATATATTCAAAAGCATAAACATGTTGCACCTCATCTATATGATAACTACACACACACACACACACACACACACACACACACACACACACACACACACACACAGAGGCTCCCAACCTTTTCGCAACTCAAAAGCATGCTGAAACCAAAACCGAAACTAGAAGCCGATGGCTGTACTGTACACGTTTCTCTCTGACACATGAAGAACCTCAGCAAGCATGACATATATAGGTGTTGCAACTAAGTGTATTAGGTGTTGCAGCCTTGGAGGCAATATATAGGGTAACAATGTAGAATCCATGTGTCCATCTAGGCAGTGCTAGTTGGAATGATTTAGCTTCCAGTTAAACTATATCATTTCCAATAAGCTTTAGTAAATTTTGGTAAAAAAAAAGGTGTCAATGTGAGCTTTTAAAAGGTCCTAAATGACTAGAGGGGGTGAATAACCTACAAAAATCTTCTACAAAAACACTTAAGCAACCGGTTAGACAATTAAATGGTGAAATGTAATTTTGCACCAGCCACAAAGTCAATTAAGATCACTAGGCACACAAAGAACTAAGTTACTGCTACTACTCTCGTTAAGCAAGCTAACAACTAATCAACAACCTTAGCTACTCAACTAACTAGCTAACAACCTCTACAAGATAAACAAGAAAGTAATGCAAGAGAGGTAAGAAAGTAATGCAAGAGAGGTTGATAGTATTATACCGAGTTGGCAAGTGTCGATCAATGAATATCAATAGAATTCCAAGGAGACAAATGACACACAACTTTTCTCCCGATGTTCACTTGCTTGCCGGCGAGCTAGTCCCCGTTGTGAAGGCTCACTCACTTGGAGGTTCACGCGCTCATAGGCATCACACGCCTAACCCACACCTGGGTGCCGTACAACCAACACAAGATGAGGGCACTCAACTTCACGAGCAATTTACTAAAGTGGCTTTTGACGCTCCACTGGAGAATAAGCCCAAGAACCCCTCACAATAATCACCGGGAGTGGCCACGAACAATCACCAACTCGTGCCAAAGCTCCTCCGCTGCTCCAAGCCGTCTAGGTGGCGGCAACCACCAAGAGTAACCAGAAAATCGTAGCAACAACGATCACCAAGTGCCTCTAAATACAATCACTCAAGCAAAAGCACTTTGGATCACTCCCAACTCACTTGGATGCACAATCAAGCAAGAGATTGAGTGGTAGAGGTTTGGCTTAGCTCACAAGGATGTATTACTGATGAAAATGTGCAAGAGCGTGAGCTAGAGCCGGCCAAGTTCTATTTATAGAGGCCCCAAGCCTCCA